CGAAGGAATAGACTTCATAATAATAATGATCCTAGATTGCTCGCAGTTTTGGCTATGGTTCATCAAAATCCCCATATTAGTACCCGTCAAGTAGAACGAGAACTGGGAATCCCTCAAACTACGGTACACAGATTGTTACGATCAGTCAATTACCATCCGTATCATATTACTCTGATACAGGAATTAAGTGAGACCGACTACGTACTCAGAGTACAATTTTGTAGATGGGCTCTTGAGATGTTAGATCAGAATCCAGATTTTTCAGTAATGTTTGTTTCAGTGATAAAGCAACATTCGTCAGCAATGGTAGTCTCAATAGGCATAATTGCCACTATTGGTCACCAGAAAATCCACATTGGTATCGTGAGGCGCTTAATCAACATCGTTGGAGTTTACACGTATGGGTAGGCATTTGCAATGGCGAAGTCATTGGACCTCATTTTTTTGAACGTACAATTAATAGTCCAATGTATTTGGAATTCCTCGAAAATGATTTGTCAGCATACCTAAAGAATGTTCCCCTTGCAGTTAGACTAAATTTATGGTATCAAAAAGATGGTGCTCCTGCTCATTATGCTCGTATTATACGGATGTTTTTGAATCAAAGATTCCCAAATGGGTGGATAGGGCGGGGTGGACCAGTTCTGTGGCCTCCGAGATCACCGGATTTGAACTCCCTTGATTTCTTTTTATGGGGATACGTTAAAGATGCAGTGTATAGTGAAGCTCCAACGACAAGATTGAATATGATGGAAAGAATAAGAAGAGCTTGTGAAGCGATAACTCCTTTAATGCTTGGAAATGTACAACGTAACTTTCGCCGTCGATTACTATTATGCTTAGAAAATAATGGTGCACACTTTGAGCATCTCCTCCATGCGGAGAGAGCTGATAACAATGCAATCTTGCCTTAACTGGTTGGGTCACCACTCGACCTTGCCTTCACTGGCTGAGTCACCACTCGACCTTGCCTTTACTGGCTGGGTCACCACTCGACCTTGCCTTCACTGGCTGTGTCACCACTCAACATTGCCTTCACTGGCTGGGTCACCACACGACCTTGCCTTCACTGGCTGGGTCACATACCTTCCCTAGTGGCTGTAGGACCTTGTAGATGGGGGGAAGGCTTAAGCGCTGAACCAAGGTAGCTGTGGGGCAGGGTTTTGCACTATGTGACTGGTAGGTCATCTCTTCACCGAGGTAAGTAGCCAGTTCTGTATTAGGCCCCTTGGTTGTCTAGGTAAGTGCGAACCAACAAACAGCCCAACTCACGCTAGGTCGATTTAGAGGAAATTACTTTTATCCCCAGCA